ACTTAGCTATTATTCAACCCCGCAGTTTCCCCCCATACTTATTTTGTCCCAGACTTCAGGAATATACCGACTCTTTTCAGTCATCTAACAATGCTGTATGAGTTCAACTGAAGAGTGCTTCACCATGTGCAGCATGCGGTACGCAATGGGTTAAATAAAGAGACTATGAAGGAAAGAGAGAAGGAAAGCTTAGTTAACGCTCGTCCTTTCATGTGAAGATCCCAAGAATGTCTGTGAGTCCTACAATGAGCTGATTATAGTGGAAGTAATGAGACGACAGCATCTACTTGTGGCAAAAAGAAGCAAGCACACTGTTCTCTAGTCGCTCGGAGGCTCTGAACACCATCTCCGGCTTCGCTTTCCAGGATAGACATGAATATATCATTCTCCACCTGCAGTCTTTCATTTTCTGGAAAGAGAAACACTCCTGTGTATTAGCTCTCCCATGTACGTTGCGTAGTAATGACAAAAGTCAACTGACAGTAATACTGTTTTCATTCAGATACGATTTTACGTGAAACTTGTGGCACACTATAGGAAGGAGTACCAGTGACGAACCTGTCTAGTCCTCTTCTTTTTGCGCTCCTGTTAATCCAGACCGGGGACATGGCGCGAAGCATCACTGCACACCTTTGGATAACGTGGGAGACACGATGAGCACAGGCAGAATGATTCATCCTACAAAGGCTTCATGTCAGTTGAAGTGGATGAAATAAAAGAAGTTGAAACACGAGTAGAACCTAGACATTTTCTTGCAAATAAGCCACAATTTTTCGGAAATGTGGCAATACAAAATAAATCGAACGAATGAAATGGGCAACGTGTTAAATGGTAATGACCACTTCTCACAGAATAAAAACGGAAAGAATGAGGAATTCAACAATGACAAGCACACACGTGTGAAAAGCGGGACATTTCGAAAAATTGTGAATTTCTTACAGCGGTGCGTCGCGGCCACTACGCTCGCGCTGTGCTTTCTTGCGATGTAGAGGCGATGATGGACTTATAAACACAACGATTCCACTTTTATTTATTTAAATTCACAAGCGATTTTTGAATAAGATAGGCCCTTGCAGCTGCAATTCGGAAAACTGCACAAGAGTCTGAGAGATACTTCACAGCACTCCAGTGACAGATGTTAAAATCAGAAATTTTGTTGGGCGATGTTCGGCTATTTAGTTGTTATTTCACATCGCGAAGGATCGACCTTTCTGACAACACCGACATTATGAGCTGTAAATAGTCAGTTCACTCCTGATTTCAAATCGAAATATCTGTATTCCTAGGAGATATAGGGGCGTGCATCGCCACGGTTCGAGATTAGGCGGTTTGAACGAATTAAAGCACTATGGCACAAAGTGCTACGCCAATGCTGTACTGCCGAATGCATAAAGGACCCATGAACAGGAGCTAATATCTACTCATGAAATGATAAACACACATCATAAACATTGTTGTCCGCAAATCAGGGAGAACTTCGATGTATTACGGAACGCTCAAATTCCTTGGGTAGTACACAGAAAGCTTCACAGAATGCAGCGAAGAGAAATTTATGTGTTTATTTGTATCAATTGAAATAATTGATTGAGATCTGTTTGATCTTTATCTCTGCGCTCTCTCCAATCCCGTGCTCTGTCGAGCCCCGCCCCTTTGGCCAGGTATAAAAGGGCGGCGGCACCTAATAGAATTGCTCAGTCCTCAATGTTCAGCGATGAAAATTGCAACAAAAATCATACAGTCAGAAGGGGAGCGACCCTTCCCAGCGGTCCTTTCCCTTCATATCGGAAAACCAAGGCATGAAGTGTAAGGATAATGTCAACACAAAATAGATAGCGCGTTTTTACAGAGACCTGTTGCTGTAAATCTCAAACTTCGGAGGTGGAGAGGAGCTTCGTCAGAAGGGGTGCTTCGTCTCTGAACAAAATTACTCGTTTAACACGAACAGTTTGCGCTCGGTACCTGCCACGTGCGGGGCACGCTGCGGGTACTAAGCGCAAACTTTCTTCTGGGCCACTGAGTGCCGAACTTGTCAGGAATTGCCATCAAACATATTTCATAGGTGAGCTCGGGCGGACGCTGATTTTAAGCCTTCGTAACCACGATTACGGAAACAAAGAGAAACAGCTTGACCATCACCAGAAGCTTCCAATAAAAACTCGCTAACAGCTTCCAAGTGTCATGTAGTGGATGCATTCAATGTCTCTTCTGGAGTCATAAGATTCATTATGGGGAGTCAGCCGACGGGAATCGTACCAGCGCGCGGTTTTTTCGACCTTTTACCTCTATAGTTGTTTGAGACTAGAGGAGGCCTGATGGATGCCTTTCCGGCATTCCCGTTGGCATTTTCTCCTCACAGACGGTTCACTTGGCAAACTTTCTTCTACATTTCTGCAACATCACCTAGGGTTTCTACGGAGACCGTACCTTTGAATTGGAAGGCTGGGGAGATGGCTTGAATCGGGCTCCTCCTACGAGTAATGCTAAAAGTCACGCTGATTTAGAAAACAGCTTTCTGCGCCTAATGACAAGCTCTCTGTTGTTTGGACCCAGTTAACGCAGTGTTCAGACTTCCGACGCCAGCGCTTATGTGAGAACAACCTTTAACTGGCGAACGCAGAAATAACAGTGAGTAACATGCGGTCTGTTTGTTTAACTACAATTCTGCCCCGCCTCCGAAAGTTGGGGTCGAAGGGCATCATCGGCGACGATGATCCTTTTAAGGTAGAAGACGTGATCTGTAAGCACTCCGCTGGTTAGAAGGAGTTGTGAAGAATGAAAAAGAAATGCTCTCTCTCTCTAGCAACTCATGTAAGTCTCTATTTCAATTCAGCATTTCCCCTTAGTTGGTTGAGCCGTAGCAAAGTTGTAATGCATATTAAAAAGTTGAGTCTAGCACTTCCCATTACAGATTGAAGCTTCTCCTAAAGTTATGTGTGAACGTCGGCGCCTCCTGAAGCGTGGCCACTCGCGTGCAAAAGGTAGTTTCATCGTCGCCTGGACCTGGGTACAGGATCCTGCACCACCCAAGCAATGCACCGGTAGCTCATCCGTTAGCGAGTTCATATTGGAAGCTACTGGTGAACTCCTTGATGGTCAAGCTGTTTCTCTTTTTTCCGTAATCATGGCTAGAAGGGCCATGATTACGGAAAAACGGCCAGTAGATCAGCGTTCACCTCAACTCGCCTTATACTCGGCGAAAAAGTTGTCGAGCTGGGGGGGGGGGTATGTAGTAAGCAGTGCGAAGTACATCCTCCTACGGGCGGCGTACATAGTAGCTATAACACAGTAAATTCATAAATCCATCAAGTGAACCACGTAACTCCCAGCCACGAACACGACCCCCCCCCCTCCAAAACGTCCGCAAAAGCGAGAAAAATCAACTATAAAAATAAATTTTCAAAACCCAAATACGACCCCCCCCCCTTTTGGCGAACAAATACGACCCCTCCCAATAGGGAATCCCCAACCAATTCTGTGCCCTGTTTCGCGTCTGTCTCGCGCGTGTCACGTTCATTTCCGTGTGGGACCATGTGTGTCATCCCGTCCATCTTCCTCTTGATCTCATATGCTCTCACTCGCCCGCACAGTAGTGCATTCGCCTAACTCGTTTCTTTTTGTCTTACCATCCGACATACGTCTTTGGTGACCGGCGCATGAATTCGCATTTGAAGCGTTTTAGCTGCGTGACTTTAATGGGAATCGCCAACTGCGACAGCTTTATGAAGACTCACAATGGACTCTGCATCTAGTGATGAAGCACACCGTAGGTTATATGGAGGCAACTTTCTGGGAAAGATAATGATTTAGGCTGTGTCAAGAAGGCGAAGTGAAGAAGAGATGGTATGTCATTTTGTATGTTATTAGACTGCGTTCATATTTTGGAGCAGCGTTTTGAGCGTATGGCATGGTTTTGAGCGCTTAGAGTGGGTGCAGGCATTCAGATACCCGAATCGGCGTGGCTACAGGGGACAAGGTCTCGACATGGACAACAAGTTTACCAACTTTGTCCCGCCATAGATGCAAGACGGGAGCGCACTTCCCAGTCAAACACCCTCAATGCCATCAAACCATCGGTGTTGAATGTTTCATCGGATGGTCCATACGTAAGACCTCATAGCCATTACTTTTCCCCTGCCTAATGTCGGGCTGCTGCACCACTCTAATTTCATGATGTCTGATCCAGCTGTTCGCAACCCTCCTACTTCTCCACACCCTGTATCCTGATGGCTTATGTAAGCTGGTGCGCGCTGGACGCTAGATCGGTAACTATGCTATTAGGCAGCGTTCAGACTTCGCGACGGCAGCGCTTCGGTCGCGCATTTAGACGATCGATACGCATGATTTTGATTGCATCGATCGCGCCGAACACGCGACCGAAGCGCTGCCGCTGCGAAGTCTGGACGCTGCCTTAGCCCTTGACGGTGGCGGAGGATGTGGACTTTGGCAGACGTTTGATATATCTATACTTTACTATTCGCTGGCGCTGCCAAGCGCTCGTAACGCTAGTGGTCACTGGTGGACACTGGTAGCGCTGGTGGACGCTGCCGCAAAGCACGAACACGGCCTAACAGATCAAAAACCTGCTATTTCAATTTGCAGCAATGTTTCCTGCTAGATGGAGCTGTAACGAATTTTAATGCATATAATGAAATTAAGTCCACAAGCCCCAGGAATTCCTTGAATTGAACCCTTCCAAACTTAGGTGTGAACAAAGATGTGGCCTCTTGAAGAGTGGCAACAGGGCGCAGGAGATATTTTCAACGTACCGTAAAATGACCTCAACAGCGAATTTACTCTGAAAAATGGCCCTCCATAAAATGTTTCGATGTCGTCAAAAGAGGAAAACCTCCCCTTTCCCTGCGACGTCCTGGGTACTGCATAACCCAGTAGTGCGCAAGTAGCTCAGAAGTTAGTGAGCTCACCTTGGAAGCTGCTGCTCACTTCCTTGATGGCCGTGCTTTATCGCTTTTTTCGGCATCGAGACTATAAAGATTACAAACATGCCGGTAGATCAGCGTTTACCAGTACTAATCCACGACAGGAATTCGATAGCAGTTCCTGATGAGTTTCGGTGCCCTGTGGTAGCCTTCATACGCGCAGGTAACCTAAATGCATTCCCGTGTCAAACGATAATGAAGTTCTTCGAGAAGTCAAAACAGCCCGGGTGACAAGGTCCTGTTCGGATTTTTAGGTTCGGAACAAACTTCGAAAAATACGTCAATCTTGGTGAATGATGGCCGATATCGCACAGTAATGATTTTAGAGCTAAACTGACATCGAAACATAATCTTTAGGCTGAACCAGACTAAATTAATCCTTTAGACATATTTCGGGAGAAAAGCGCTATTCATCTGAGCGTCGGCATTGTTCTTACCACCACGGCGTGGTTTCCTGCTATAAAAGGCCCCAGTTCCAATTTCACTTCACTCAGCAAGAGTTATAGACTGTCCCTTCCAGAGCTTCGCCTTGACATTTTAGACCATCCTATTCAAATTCTAACACCACCTCATTTTCCTGTATAAGTTGAACTCCATAGGTTCCTTCCTTTCTCATTCTGATTTTTGTTGCCTCAGCCACTGTATCGAGACGAGGGTGAGACAATAGCAATTTTCGGAGGGGCCGCCGCCCTTTTATAAATGGCCGAGGAGGCGGGGCATGAGAGAGAGGACGGGAGTGAGAGAGAGCGCAGAGTTAAAGACTAGACGGATATCAATCTAATTATTTTAATCACGGGAACTGCATGAAGCGATTTTTCTTTCCTGCTTTCAATGGAGCCTTCTGTTCCCAACTCAAGAAATTCGAGCATTCCACGAAATCGTCGAAGTTTCCGCTGCTTTGTGGGCAACAATGATTGCGGTGTGTGTTCATTAATTCATGAATAGGTACTAGCCTCTGTTCGTGGGTTTTTTTTTCATCTATTTGTCACGGTACAGCATGAGCATAACAGCCCTTACACGACGTAGCCGCTGGAACTATAATATCTTATATCGTAGCGTGAGACGCATACTGCATTTTCTGAGAATGCGAATGTTTTGGCTCGGGATCAAGTGGGAACCGAATTTTTCTTTCGAGCTTATCGATACCAGTTGTGTGGAAAGGCCTAAACTTTTAGTGTGAAGTAGCAATCAACGTAGCCGAACCACAGCTCTGACTGGAATAATTGCTGTCACGGGGATGCTGTGAAGATCTTTTAGATTTCCTTGAGGGGATTTGAATTGCAGCTGCAAAGGGCTATTTCTTTCCTCCGGATCGCATATATAAATAAACAGAAAATAGGTGATGGAACTAAAACCGTTGCTTTACAAGGCTAGTCATTGGTTACATACAGTGGAAGAAAACATGGCGCGAACGCAACTGCCGCGACGCGACCGCTGTAAAAATTTTAAGTCAACCGAAACTGGGTAGCCATATGGATATAGCTTGTGGTAGTGTTGTTGAGTTCCTCATTCTCTCCATTTTTTTTCATTGAGTGAGTAGTGATCGTTTTCAGTTTGCACTATGGCCTATTGCACACCGATCGATGTATTCGGTATTGCATTTCTGAAAACTGTGGTTGATTCGCAAGAAAGTGGCAAGGTTCGTACTAATATTTTCCCCAATATTGTTTTATTTTATCCTGAACTGACATGAAGCCTTCGTAGGAACAATCACACTGTCTATGCTCATTGTGTCGGACGTTATCCAAGGGTGTGCAGTGATCCTTCGCGCCATGACCCCGGTGAAGATTGAGAGGAGCATAAAAAGAACAAGGAGGACAGAGGTTCATTACTGCTATCTTTCCTCCACGCTGCCCCAAGTTATACGCGAAATTATAATTAAGTAGAAACAGTTTTATAGTTAGCTGTTCTTTTTTTTCGGAACATAACTTACATGGGAGAGTTAATACAAAGGGGTGTTTTTCTTTCCAGAAAGTGTAAGACTGCAGGTGGAGAACGACATTCTCATATCTGTTTTAAAAAGTGAAGCTCGATTTGATGTTCAGGACATCCATGAAAGTGTAAAAACAACAAGTATGCTTGTTTCTTTTTGTCACGAGTAAGTGTTGTGGCCGCATTGCTTACGGTGAGATCCCCTCATTGTAGAAGTGCCAATCATTGTCCGAGATCTTCACATGACGAGTCCAGCCAATCCCCTCAGGATCAAGAGAATAACCTCGATCAGGACGAAGAAACTACGCTACGGATAGAAGCAAGCGGCATCCTTAACATGAGCGTTAACTGAATGCTTTCCGTCTTTTTTTATGGTCTCTTAGCTTTATTCAGATTTCTTATTTTCGAAAAAATTCATACGTGCGGTTGTCCTTCATTCGCCACAAAATCGCTAGTATGACAATATTTGTGAAATTCTAGTGGTCTATACAGATTATGTATAAGGCAGCCTCCAGTGTTCGCGGTGACGCTCGTCGACGCTTTATAATCGCAGCAGCGCTCCAATGGTATAACGCCGCGTCGACGCGCATTGACGCTCGTCATCGCGAGGTCTGAACACTGCCCATCTTTCTTTGTTGGTGCTTGCTGGTCTTTTGTTTCTTGATAATAAAGAGTATAGTAATTACTCCCGAGCGAGAGATGATAAAAATAGTGGTCACAACCTTCGAGATACGATGTTCAGCTACACTGCTGGTGAGCATCGTACAGTCTGTAGGAAATCTCTTGTTCACCAGATTGGGACTTGGGATTGTGTTGGTGTTGGTATTTTCCTATATGCAGTATGAGTTCACATTACATGCGACATTTCTCCATTGTTCAGTTAAAAAGGAGTTCGGAGGCGCATTCGATATTTCCAATTTGTACTCCGCCTTTTTTGTTGGATTGAGTTTTACCCCACTTTTTAAAGTCTTTACGCACACCATTAAGATTTCAACGTTTTATAACACAAGGTTCGACTGTTCAAAGTACAACAAGTACAAAAAAATGTGTCATCAAAGTATATGTATAGTAAGTAATATGTCAAAGTCCGTAAAGTGAGTAGTATATCAGGTTAACAAGGTAAAAAAAAACTAAAGAAAAAAAGCCTAATTACTCGAATATCTTATCTCTTATCTTTTTGACAAATCTGGGTGCTTAGTGTTAGCATCGCCTCAGACGGCTATGGACATACAACGTGTTTGCTACCCACATAGAGAGGAGTTCGCTGGTGGATATCTTCCGGAACAACGTCGAGAAGGTTACGCTGAAATTTTAACGCTCTTACGGGGTCCTCGCCAAAGAGAACTAATAAATGAACAATTGGGTTCATATTACCTTGCCCGTGGTAGCCAGGGCACATCTTTGGTTGGGGAATCCGCAACAGGGCGGTCGTATTTGGCCGCCAGGAGAGGGGGGGGGTCGTAGTGAGTGCGGCGGCCAGTAACGAGCAACGCAAAGGTGGCACTGTGCTGAGTCCTGTATAGCGGAACTTGCTTTGTAGAGAACTCGGATATGTAAAAAATAGTACAAAACTTTCAACCATCAAACTAATCCGAAATAACTGGAATTATTAATAAGTCGACAACGTCTCGTTGGTCCGTTGATGACTAAACAGTACAACTCATACTCTGGTTCGTTGCGGATGATGGGGCGTGTCCGCGATCACGCTTGGCGCTGAGCCAACGTGTTTTTTTTTCGACAAACGACAGGGCTACCATATCGTTCGTATCAGACGTTTTCCAGCAGTTGGTCTCCTTTATCGGAGACAGTATTGGCGGAGCATAGATCTGGCGGCGTCGACACGGACACGCTCCATCATACGCAACGGAAAACACTGTAAACAAGTGCACCGGCTCGCCATGGACCTCCCTGAACCCTATAGACACATTTGCTCGCGTGGACAGACATTACGCACAAGTTGCACCACCCCATCACCTCTGCGCGGACCTCAGTGCGCGGCGCATCTAAAGCCAGCGTGATCGGCGCTAAACGAACCATATTCTGCTCCTGCTCCACCACAGGATACATTTTCATGCGTTCCTGGTTGCTCGAACACGCTCACTTGAAAAGTTACGTAGGAAACGGGTTTTTCGCGCAGCTGGGAGTGTTCCCCAAGAAATCCCCATCGCAAGATCTCATGAATCCCGAGAACTTCAGAAACAGTTCAAAAGGTTTTTAGAAAGAGTAAATCTTCAAACACTCGAAGCCGTTCTCGGATTTGTGAAAGGTTGAGTTACAAAAAAAAATATATTGATTCAAACCTGTTCACTTGAAATCTTTTCCAACGAATCCCCATGGCAGATTTCTCTGTGATTTTTGCGACCTTCATAAATGTTTCAGTACTTTTAGGAAGTGCGAACCTTCCTCTACACGAACACAGTCTCCTCTTCCCCACAGGTCCGCTTTTGAGGAAGTTATGGTCCTTCAAAACACCCCACTTTGCTGAAAACTCGCGTTCCACATGGCTGGTCCTGCCCAGAATCCCATCCCCCGATACGCTAATCCATACTCGACAACCAGCTGATTTCGGCTGGTTTGCTTGTCACGCAGCGTGGCGTGTCTTTCAGTTTTTTTTCTCATTTAACATCATCAATTTCTATTTTTGTAGCTTTAGGATGTGTTTTCAATAATTTTGGTATATCACCACTATTATTTCTAGTTTTTGAATTGTTTTTGTCTCCCCTGTCATTGCTTACGCTTCCTATGTTGTGATTTTCATAACTGTGATGTTCCCCAATCCTCGGTCAATTAGCCTATCGTTCGTATCAGGCATTGTTCACAGTCTGCGGCCCAGCGTTTCTCTGGAACGGTTCGGCGAAAAGTTCTTGATTTTTGACTTGATTTGATTGACTGATTTAATTTGATTTGATTTTTTGATTAATTTTTGATGATCGACTGGCAAGTGGACCTAGAGTCTGGCGGCTGGGCGAAAGGATTTTGATGCGAATCGACGGGCGTTTCGCCAAACCGCGATGTTTCTCGCCTTCGACGAAACGCTGGCCTTTTTTTTTGGGGGGAGGGATCGTACCAACCCCCCAAAAAGGGGGCGGGGCCGTACGGACTCGACCAAAATCCCCATCGAATGCTATGCCCTGGTGGTAGCGAGACCTCCAGCTTGCTCGATGATCAAGGCTATTGGAGCGCACTCGTGGAGAAGGCGAAGCTGAAAGCTGCAGCTGCAGTGAAAAATATAGGTAGAGGATCGATTCCCATACTAATTTGTTATATAACATTTTCTTTCCCGCTGGAACTGATCTGTTGGACGAGTAACGTCACGCGGGAAACTACATCTTCTTAAAAGCACGGTTGACCAGGAGCAGTTGAAAATGTTGCATCGGGACGGTAGTGTGGTCCGCACCGAACAACCTTGTACCGGGGGAGACGGTAAAGAGGATCGTAATCCCCCGCACCGCCACGCGCGGCGTTTTCACAACTCGTTTTAACCTGTCGAATGGAGCACCGGACTTCATGTAGACCCCGCCATCGTAGACACTCATTACTGTTTTCAGTCCTTAATTGCATGTTGTCGCCATCTACTGCCTGAAACCATGGTCCTCTACGGGCGAGACGTCGCACGCATCCCCCAGCAGCGCGGCAAATTACGATCCTCTTGTCACACGCCCTTGTACCGGAGCCGTATGCTATAGTTCCCCTCAAGGAGAGATATCTCCTTGTGAACCTCCACTCTCTGCCGTTTTCCCTACTGGTGCCCCTCGTCTCTCTGGCTCTCGCCGCTCTGCATCCATACTCTTCTGGCGCACGATCTGTGCGAATATAGTACAGAGCAGAGTATAACCAATATTCGTCCCTATCCCCCAGCACATGTCGTTGGGGGACGTTTCGCGAAAGTGGGGGAGCAAAGATGCAGAGAGACGAGAAGCATCGATATAGATAAGGGCAGAGAGCGGAGGTTCGCTGGAGGATATGTCCCCCTCGAATAGAAGTATAGCATACGAAACCGAAGGCCCTCCGGTTTCGCTGCAAAAAATTGCAAGAGAGGGGCGCTACAGCGCAGATTCACTGACGCGCCTTTTCTCAAGTGACTGCACGCCCAAAATCCGTCTTCGAGGCTCCTTTTTAAGTGGAAAAAAGGTACAGGACGAAAAAGCATGAAAATTGTCACTTATACGGTCGTAGCGTTCTCATCGGGGAATCAGCTGTGCGAATGAGGGCGTAGTACTGGAAATGGAGTCAATTGCTCACGTACAGGATGGGATCGGAACGCGGTCCTGTTTAGGGCAATTACTATGATTTTTCTGCCTTTTTCTTCACTGTTGAGTTAATCAAGACCTTGTCGCATGGTATATATAAGCCCCAGTCCACTCTACGTGATGGCGAACGATAGCTGCCTATGCCTTTGAGAAGGGCTCTAGAGCTGTAAAGGCGGTTTGCCGAAGTCGATGCCATCCATGCAGGTGTGCTCCTGGAAGATCGTCCCATTCATATTGGAGTTCCCTCGGAGGTACGTTCGTGGCACTGATGCTTCGAGTATTGAGGCTGGAGCACATTGGAAATGGTCTTCACTTTGTCGTCTGTGGAAACTTCCTCTTAACCCAGCCCCTTACCTTTCCATTCGGATCATCTTTCGTTGGCGGATAGAGAAATATCCCTCCATTTATTAGGATTGTGCGATGGATGTCAACCACCATTGATCCGACATAGCGCTGTGACGCATTGACGTTATTTACTTCGACTTATCTAAAATTTTTGACAGAGTGTGTCACGACAAGCTTCTCCTAAAATACGTCATTTGGGCATCAGTGGATCCATTCTTGATTGGATTCGCTGCTATTTAAATGACAAAACATGTGTGTGAGAGTTGGAAATGCGTTTTCGAGCCGCTATCTGTGCAATAGTGAGGTTCCGCGAGGGGGTGTATTGTCACCCTTATCATTTCTAGTGTATACCCATGACTTACCTAGCTGCTTGACTACGCACCCGTTCGTCAGGGTTCAAATGTATGCGGATGACATTAAGGTATACGACATTTACAACGAAGACACCCACGAGTCTGTTCACCGGGCCTTAGTCCAATCCATACGCAATATGATGGAACGGGCTTAGGCTTGGGGATACCTGTGAACCTTGAGAAGACATCGGTGCTCTTCATGGGGAAGGCTATTAAGAATCCCAATGTTTTCAATGGTACCGTCCTGGAAACCACTGAAGAAGTGCGCGATCTGGGAATCAATATAAATTCTGAGCTGGATTTTGATCGTCACATTAGTGCCATTGTAAAAAAGCTTTTGACGCTAACTATTTTCGGAAAAGTTCACTA